TTTATTGACAGTTAAGTATAATCACAAAGAAATTGGGAAAGTATTTATTTTTTAGTTATTCTACAAACTTTTTTTTATTCAATTTAATTTATACCAATATTCCTCAATTTTTTTAAAATTCTGTGATCAGAAGCCCTGGAGGAGAGGGGAAGTTACCAAAACGATATGTTTAAAATAATATTTTATTGACAGTTAAGTATAATCACAAAGAGACTGGGAAAGTACCTATTTTTTAGTTATTCTACAAACTTTTTTTTTATTCAATTTCATTTATACAAATATACCTCTATTTTTTAAAATTCTGTGGTCAGAAGCCATGGAGGAGGGGGGGAATTTATCAAAACTACATGTTTAAAATAACATTTTATTGACAGTTAAGTATAATCACAAAGAGACTGGGAAAGTACCTATATTTTAGTTATTCTACAAACTTTTTTTTTTTTATTCAATTTCATTTATACAAATATACCTCTATTTTTTTAAATTCTGTGATCAGAAGCCATGGGGGAGGGGAGGAAGTTACCAAAACGATATGTTTAAAATAACATTTTATTGACAGTTAAGTATAATCACAAAGAAACTGGGAAAGTATTTATTTTTTAGTTATTCTACAAACTTTTTTTTATTCAATTTAATTTATACCAATATTCCTCAATTTTTTTAAAATTCTGTGATCAGAAGCCCTGGAGGAGAGGGGAAGTTACCAAAACGATATGTTTAAAATAATATTTTATTGACAGTTAAGTATAATCACAAAGAGACTGGGAAAGTACCTATTTTTTAGTTATTCTACAAACTTTTTTTTTATTCAATTTCATTTATACAAATATACCTCTATTTTTTAAAATTCTGTGGTCAGAAGCCATGGAGGAGGGGGGGAATTTATCAAAACTACATGTTTAAAATAACATTTTATTGACAGTTAAGTATAATCACAAAGAGACTGGGAAAGTACCTATATTTTAGTTATTCTACAAACTTTTTTTTTTTTATTCAATTTCATTTATACAAATATACCTCTATTTTTTTAAATTCTGTGATCAGAAGCCATGGGGGAGGGGAGGAAGTTACCAAAACGATATGTTTAAAATAACATTTTATTGACAGTTAAGTATAATCACAAAGAAACTGGGAAAGTATTTATTTTTTAGTTATTCTACAAACTTTTTTTTATTCAATTTAATTTATACCAATAGTCCTCAATTTTTTAAAATTCTGTGATCAGAAGCCATGGAGGAGGGGAAGTTACCAAAACGATGTTTAAAATAATATTTTATTGACAGTTAAGTATAATCACAAAGAGACTGGGAAAGTACCTATGTTTTAGTTATTCTACAAACTTTTTTTTATTCAATTTAATTTATACCAATATTCCTCAATTTTTTAAAATTCTATGATCAGAAGCCCTGGAGGAGGGGGGAAGTTACCAAAACGATATGTTTAAAATAATATTTTATTGACAGTTAAGTATAATCACAAAGAGATTGGGAAAGTACCTATTTTTTAGTTATTCTACAAACTTTTTTTTTTATTCAATTTCATTTATACAAATATACCTCTATTTTTTAAATTCTGTGATCAGAAGCCATGGGGGAGGGATGGAAGTTACCAAAACAATATGTTTAAAATAACATTTTATTGACAGCTAAGTATAATCACAAAGAAACTGGGAAAGTATTTATTTTTTAGTTATTCTACAAACTTTTTTTTATTCAATTTAATTTATACCAATATTCCTCTATTTTTTAAAATTCTGTGATCAGAAGCCATGGGGGATGGGGGGGGGTTACCAAAACTATGTTTAAAATAACATTTTCTTAACAGTTAAGTATAATCACAAAAAACTGGGAAAGTATCTGTTTTTTAGTTATTCTACAAACTTTTTTTTTATTAAATTCCATTTATGAAAATATACCACTATTTTTTAGTTTGTTTTTTTTTATTATAGCGTGTTTTTTAGTTATTTAAACTATTTATTTTTTTTTTATTTATTTTTTTAGTTTGTATTTTTCTATTCTATATATTTTTTTATTCAATTTCATTTATACAAATCTGTGATTTAAAAGAGATGTGATGAACATGAGAATTTTACCTGTGCCGCTGGGTTTTGTGGAACGTAACAATGGGCTACCCTTATTTTATTCCCTTTTAAGACTCTGATGAGCGCACGATTAGGTAAATTATGAGGCATTTGAATTATTATTTATTCAATATTTTTTTCCGTTTGTTTTTCTCTCTCTGTATTTTTTCGCTGGTAATTTATAAGCCAAGGGGAGAATGCTTTCAAAAAGACGAATCCTTGCATGTAGAACTGAAAGCCCAAACTCTGTAGCTTCATGATTAATCTAATTTTAAAAATCTAATTGGTTATACCACATATGTAACATCGGCTTGTGGATATGCAGTATAATTACATAATAATTACATGTGAATATAAAGCATTTTGCATTGTTCTTCTCACATATGAAGTAAATAATGATGCAGAAATAACAGAAGTTATATTTGATTTAGAATTTTCAGAGGAAATTTTAATTTGTGCAACTGCATTCTAGAAGTAGGCTATTTTTAAATATTTAGTTGCAAGTTATTGTTAGAGCTAAGGAAGTGTGATATATTAATTTAAAAAAAAAACAGTTTATTAAAATAGTTAGTCTTACAAAATAAGTTCTTTTACTTGTTTAAAATTCACACCAAAAAGGTTTATGTAAGCTACACTATCTTTCTTATAAAAATATCATTGATGATTTTAAAACCACTGTTGGGCACTCTTAAATATGCCTTCGGTTATAGAAGATCGTGCTCTTAATCAGATATTAAAGATACAAACAAAACTTCACTATCTTCAAAACTTTCAGGAGGTTCTAAATATTCTTGCAGAAGAGTTTTTAGGTTATACATCTTCGAATTTATATTATACTCATTTTTAATGTCAGAAATTGTTGCTGCATCTTGAAAATCCTGTGTATATTTATTATAAATATACATTTTTTGTAGAAATGTTAGTTACGCGTTGTGTCCCACCTTACATAATTTGTAATTAATATTGTATCTGATTGATAAAAGTACTTATTTCTTACAGGGATTAAAGAAATGTGCGGTGAAGACATAAAAAGGCACCAAAGTGATCTCAAAATACTCGATCAATCCCGCATAGGTGGATTATGCGACGGTGGCTTATCAGGCATCGGAAGTTCACTTAGCAATAGTTCAAACGATGGTGACAAACCTTCCAAGCAGAAAAGGCACAGAACGCGGTTCACTCCGGCTCAGCTCAACGAGCTGGAACGATGCTTCTCCAAAACGCATTATCCCGACATTTTCATGAGAGAAGAAATTGCTATGAGGATTGGATTGACTGAGTCTAGAGTGCAGGTAAGTTATTTATTTTTAACTTTCTTTTAAAGTAATGTTGGAAATATATCTAACATATTGTACTAATTTATAAGGCTAGCCCGGATCCGAAGGGATAAACTAAATAACTTTTTAACAATAATATATAAGTTTAAGGATCTAAATAGACTGACAACATATGATAGCGCGTTTATTCTGTATTTAAATATGCAACGATAGTATGGAAATCATCGGTACTTCACATCATATCACGAGCATGAAAATGCCAGTTTTCCGTTACTAAAACAATTTAATAAACTACCTACTTATTTTTATGAAAGAAATATTACTTGATAATTAAATTAAAACGCAGCCGATGAAAAAGTAACATAATTTAACTGAAGACGTATTTATAATGAAACTTGAAACATTATAAATTGATTCTTGAATGTTCAAATTTTGTCTACGTTCTAATACCATCTGAATTATTCCCTTTAAATTAATTAAAGATAGTTATTTGATGTTACAAATCCCACCGAATTTCAGGCTTAGAATAATCGTGGAATGTTGCAAAGCTCTTAAAGCTTCTCTTAAACCCTCACAACTTTCTAGACGGGTTTTAGCTAGTGAAACTTTGCTCACGTAACAGTACAAAGGTGAGACAACAAAAATGAAAAAGTTTAATAATTTAAAGAGTTTGGCGAATGTTAAATATTTAAAAATGGAGATGATAATTTGATCAAAATCAAATATAATTTCCATCTAAAGTAAGTTGTTTTAAAAAATCTCAATTTTTGCACTATTTTAATCTTGGATTTAATTATTAAATTATAGAATGGATAGATTGAATGCCAATATTTTAGATAAATAATAACAATAAATGTTTAAAATATGTTAAAAAATGTTGCTTAATTGAAAATTTATATACAAGTAGGAATTTAAGAATTTTGTTTGCAGAATAATCTTTCTACATTCTTTATAAATGTGTTTTGAAATTTTGAAGTTTATAAATTTATTAGTTTTGGAATTAGGGACGAAACAAAGGTTCCAATTTCAACTTTAACAAGTAGGAATTTAACTTTGATACTCTCTATCTTTAACAGCTGTTAATATTTAAGAATATTGTTTGCAGAATAATCTTTCTACACTCTTTATAAATGTGTTTCGAAATTTTAAAGTTTATAAATCTATTAATTTTGAAATTAGGGACGAAACAAAGGTTCCAATTTCAACTTTAACAAGTAGGAATTTAACTTTGATACTCTCTATCTTTAAGAGCTGTTAATATTTAAGAATTTTGTTTGCAGAATAATCTTTCTACACTCTTTATAAATGTGTTCTGAAATTTTGAAGTTTATAAATCTATCAGTTTTGAAATTAGGGACGAAACAAAGGTTCCAATTTCAACTTTAACAAGTAGGAATTTAACTTTGATACTCTCTATCTTTAAGAGCTGTTAATATTTAAGAATTTTGTTTGCAGAATAATCTTTCTACACTCTTTATAAATGTGTTCTGAAATTTTGAAGTTTATAAATCTATCAGTTTTGAAATTAGGGACGAAACAAAGGTTCCAATTTCAACTTTAACAAGTAGGAATTTAACTTTGATACTCTCTATCTTTAAGAGCTGTTAATAGTTAAAAATTTTGTTTGCAGAATAATCTTTCTACACTCTTTATAAATGTGTTCTGAAATTTTGAAGTTTATAAATCTATCAGTTTTGAAATTAGGGACGAAACAAAGGTTCCAATTTCAACTTTAACAAGTAGGAATTTAACTTTGATTCTCTCTATCTTTAACAGCTGTTAATATTTAAGAATTTTGTTTGCAGAATAATCTTTCTACACTCTTTATAAATGTGTTCTGAAATTTTGAAGGTTATAAATCTATCAGTTTTGAAATTAGGGACGAAACAAAGGTTCCAATTTCAACTTTAACAAGTAGGAATTTAACTTTGATACTCTCTATCTTTAAGAGCTGTTAATATTTAAGAATTTTGTTTGCAGAATAATATTTCTACACTCTTTATAAATGTGTTCTGAAATTTTGAAGGTTATAAATCTATCAGTTTTGAAATTAGGGACGAAACAAAGGTTCCAATTTCAACTTTAACAAGTAGGAATTTAACTTTGATACTCTCTATCTTTAAGAGCTGTTAATATTTAAAAATATTGTTTGCAGAATAATCTTTCTACACTCTTTATAAATGTGTTCTGAAATTTTGAAGTTTATGTATCTATTAGTTTTAAAATTAGGGACGAAACAAAGGTTCCAATTTCAACTTTAACAAGTAGGAATTTAACTTTGATTATCTCTATCTTTAACAGCTGTTAATATTTAGGAATATTGTTTACAGAATGCTCTTTCTACACTCTTTATAAATGTGTTCTGAAATTTTGAAGTTTATAAATCTATTACTTTTGGAATTAGGGACGAAACAAAGGTTCCAATTTCAACTTTACAAGTAGGAATTTAACTTTGATTCTCTCTATCTTTAACAGCTGTTAATATTTAAGAATTTTGTTTGCAGAATAATCTTTCTACGCTCTTTATAAATGTGTTCAGAAATTTTGAAGTTTATAAATTTATCAGTTTTGAAATTAGGGACGAAACAAAGGTTCCAATTTCAACTTTAACAAGTAGGAATTTAACTTTTATTCTCTCTATCTTTAACAGCTGTTAATATTTAAGAATATTGTTTGCAGAATAATCTTTCTACACTCTTTATAAACGTGTTCTGAAATTTTGAGTTTATAAATCTATTAGTTTTGAAATTAAGGACGAAACAAAGGTTCCAATTTCAACTTTAAATTTTTATAATTTATAAAAAGAATATAGAAACAAAAAAAAAATTGGAATATTATAAAAACTTTGGAACACAGTAAATGAAATATTAAGTATTATAACAAAATAAATAAATAACAATAGAAACGAAAAAACTTGTTCTTTAAAAGCTCTACAAAATGGTTTTTAAAAAATCACTGCTAAGTTTTCCGTAAAGCTACAAAATAGGATTGTTAGATCAAATTTGGGGGAGTTTTAATAGAAATAAGTGATTTTGTAAATTACCGTTTAAACTAAGAAGTTATTTCCTCTTTAAAAGGTCTACAAAGCTATTTAAAAAAATCACAGGATTTTCAGATCAAATTTGGGAGAATTAGAATAGAAATTGCATATATATTAAGTAACTTGTTCATCTATGTAAGGTAAAAAATATAAATAAAAAACCAATTCACAAAAATAAAAAATCTACTATAGTCTATTTTTATGTATGAGAGAGTATTAAAATAATAAAGCGTTCGTAATCCATAGGCGTAGCACTTCTTTTAGTAGACAGTTAAAATATTTTTTGAAGTTATTCCTCGAGTATACACTTATATTTTCACCTAATTAACCTGCTTATAACTTCTAAACAGCTGAAGGTAAAAAAGTGCATTTTTTTCTAAAATGTTTTATTTTTCCACAAGGTATGTTAAGAACATTGTGTCAAACGGGTTATGTAGGTATAAGGGTTAAAACTTTGACTTTTAAACAACGTTACGTTCATAAATAATAATTTTAATATAAAAACTACTTCTTACCTACAAATCCAAATCAGAATCGAAATCAGAAGATGAACTGTCGCAACCAATATTTACAATGAGTGGCTCGATCATTTCATCAGTAATATTGTCCAACTTCCACATTTTCTCTTCTTCTTTAATCGTATGATTTACTGCCTTTTCCCAGTTTTCAGGCTTCACATTATTTACAGCCTCCAAAAACAACTGTTTAACATCGCTCATTTTAAAAGAATTATTTTTTCTTGAAACTTCTCCCTTTGTCTGTGCCTCGGGTTTACTTCGCAATGATATGGTGGTGATCTAACCACCGTCATCCCACGATTTTTTGCAATTTCATATTTTTTGAATTTCTCTTTATGAAGGGAACACAAATGATAGTTCTTTTCTCATAGAACCGGGATGGAACTTAATATTCTTTGAATTTAGCCAATTCTGTAAATCTTTTTTTAACCACTTGGTTGTGGGCATTTTTTCTATAAGGCTTCGAGTGATAATTTGCATTATCCATTACTATTATACAGTTCTGAGGAAGAAGATCTAAAATTTGTTCGAACCACTCTTTAAAGACATCAGCATTCATGTCCTCATGGTAGTCACCGGTAGATTCAAAAGTCAATAAACCACCTTTAACAAAACCGTTTGAACTACCGATGTGTACTATTATTAGTCTGCGCCCCTTTCCTGATGGTGGATTTAAACAAGTAGATAAATTATTTAAAAAAGCCTGTCTTCGACTTGTAACAGTTTCATCTTGCCAAAATTTATAATAATAATAATAATAATAGTTTATTATTTGCCAATATAAGATGTACAAAAATACAAAATATAAAAAAAACAAAAATACACTAAATACACTAATTAGGCAAATAAAAGGTCGAGTGATAGGTCATAAGACCAATTCTACCTCACTCGCCTTGAAAAAAATAAATAAGTAAAATAAAGAGTCAAAATACATATACATATCTAGATTATTAATTCAAAAATACAGTTAAAAGAATAATTAACTAGTGAAAGGAACCTTAATCTATATTAATAAATATTAAAAATCACAAAAAAAAACTTAAAATTTAAAATGTCTGTTCGCGTAAAAATACTTGTTTGTATTTATTTTTAAAAGCTGTTGATGAAAGACTGAAATTTGGTAGGTATATCAAGAAGATGACTGTTCAATGCAATTTGGTAGCTAAATGATTTTTTGAATATTTGTTTATTATGAGATGGAATGGTAATGGCATTCTTTTTCCTTAAATTAATATGATGGACGTCGGTTCGAAAACTTATCTTTTGATGTAAGTATGAGGGAATTTTGGTCTTAACTATTTTATAAAATAAACAGAGAGAATGAAGTTTCCGACGATTAAACATGTTCAGCCAATTCGCCTCTTTTAATTTATAAGAAATCCTCTCCCTTCTCCTTAAGCCATAGATCATCCTTAAACAACTATTTTGTACTTTCTGAATTCGATTCTTATCAATTAATCGTAAAAAAGAACCATATACCGTGTCGCAATGATTAAAGTGCGATAAAACAAGAGTCAGTAAGCATTTGTTTAGTTGCAGTAGACAAATCTGTTCTATGTGGATAAATTAGTTTTAGGGAAGAGTAGGCTTTCCTAACCTCGTTAATATGTTTATCGAACCTTAATTGAGAGTCAATAGTCAAACCAAGATTTTTACACGAGGAACTAATTTTTAAAATTTCATTCCTTAAGGTGATTTGTATTTGTGGCAAGATCAGCTGTCGGTTATTTTCACTGCAAAATACAATAACATAACATTTTGTTGAGTTGATATGCAATGAGTGTTAATCAGATGCACTTACAAGAATAGAGAGATCGTCATTAATACGCCTGACCGGCTCTTCAATTTTAGACAGTTCAAAAGAATAATAAATTTGTGTATCATCAGCATATAAATGGCTCTTACAATGATTTAAATGTTATTTGGTTTATGTCCCTCGTTGATCCATGTTTCATCTAAATAAAATATATTTCTTCTTTGGTTTCTCATTTCTTTTATAGTCCTTAGGTAATTTCTTCTCCATACTACAATATCGCTTCTTTCTATTAAAATAGACTTTCTAGAATGCTTTTTCCATAGAAAACCTATTTTTTTTAAAAGTTTCCATAGTGTGCTTCGACTCATTTCATCCTTATCATTTCTAACCGTGGCAAGAACTTTGTCTACTGTCGGAAATTCTTTTCTAAAGAAGAACGCATGCACTTTCCTTCGAAGTCTTTCTTTCAAAAGATTTTCTAATTGAAATTTTGGTTTTCCTGGAGCTTTACGTGCTGTTTGAAACTCGCCACATTTCTCTTCTTTAACAACTCTGTAAATCGTAGATTTCCCAACACCAAGCGTACTACTAACTAATTCCACTGTGTCATCAATACTTTTACATAAATGTTTGTCTGTAAATGATTTAATACAATTAAATATTAATGTTTTTTCATTAACTGTTAAAAGATCGATTTTTTGTCGTTTACGCGGCCCTTCCAAATTTTCCATGATCACACTAGAATTCACACTGCACTTTGCAAGTAGCAACTAAACGACATTTAGTAAGCTGTCAAGAATACACAACTTGGACCTCCTTACTAAATGGAAAACCTGTAATCGCATTTTCGGTGAAATTTGTTGGGAAAGTATTTATCTACTTATAATTCGATTACTGTAAGAAATTCTTGGAATTAAAATAAAACAAAATTGGCAAATATTGAAAATAATCTTAAGATACGGCTATGTAATCTTTAATATACAGGGCTTTTGGCCTGTCCAAACCTTTTTCTATTGTTCTGTACAGCTTATGTTTATAAAGGACCAATAAAAGACCCAAAACTTGTAATAGCTCAGGTACATTTATTACAATTTTAGGAAATATTTAGATTATTCTGTAAAAATATTTAAAATGACCGTACTGTTTTGCATTAGAAATGCTGTTTTATACATAAACATAGACTATAATATTAATTCAATTTTTCTTAACCCTACAAATATAACTGAGGTACAAAACAATCACACATAATATAAAAAATAATAAATCTACTGGGGGGGAGGGTGGAATAAAAGTTGAAATGTTAAAGATTATTTCACATTATTTAAGAAAACCTTTGACATTATTAATAATTTACTTGATCAAATATGTAGATATTAAGGTAGAAATAATATTTTTAATATACCTATAACCATGTTTATGTTCTTTTTAATATTTCTTCAACAGATTACAATCGTTCTATCAAATAAAGCAACTACTATTAATCTATAATGCGTATAGTAACTAGGATTATAGATTTGATTGCAGTTAATCAAAATTTTATGCTGATTATTCAAAATTAATTCGTTTGACGTTCATTTATGAAATAGCCAATAAAGGGCAATATGTTGACTCTTGTTCATTAAATTCCATAGATATTTGATTTGAACAACTATAGACAGATTGAAATTTAATTACTAATAAATTTGGCAAATTTAGTAGGTATTTACGTGATTTCGATCGTATTAGATATTTAGTTTAATGCGTATTAACAAATTAATTAAACATTATAAACTGTTACGTAGTTTAACATGTATAAAAAATTTAATATTTCGTAAATAGTCTTAAGAATGAATTTCTGAACCCATTCGGATTGTCATTTTGGTTAGGGAGGTGTTGGTTGACAGATGAAGGTGGACAACTCCCAAGTTTTGTCAAGGAGTGAAATCTACACTTTCTATAACCATATTATGATGAAAGTCTAACTTATTTTTATTTTATTTATTTAAAAACACACTATTTACAATTTATTTACTATTTAATTTATATAATACTAACAATTCTAATTTATTTCTTACATTTTAACTTTTCAATACAATATTCTATATTAAACTGTCTATAATCAACCAAACTGGCTATTTATATTAGTCCAACTCCGCCACTGGAAGATGCTAGAGGCTCTCGAAGATTCCACTTCTATGATTAAACGGCATTCCCCGCCGTTCCAGCTGTTTCTAGTGCATCCCGTCGTTTCTTGTATATTCGAGACACGGTCAGATTGTTTTCACACGTCAGCGTTGCTTCGATCACGAGTCGGTTGCCATGTGAAGGCTGCGTGCTTAGACAGAGTCAGACTTAGGAATTCAT